GCGATTTATTCAATGGCCACAGCGTTCAAAATCTGGCAACAAATTTATTGCCCCGCATATCATAAATATACAAAAGGGGGGGAATATATATATATATACACACAAGTATATTTGTCGTATACAAGCGTATATAAAGGTCGGCATATAAAAGAGAGCCTGCAATTTCATAAATATTTGATTAGCTTAAAGGCATATTTGGAGTTATGTTTTGCTGTTTTGATTTTGTTCTATTAAGTTTTGTGTTCTTGCTCAACTCTTAAGTTACACTTGCAATTTTGTTGTTGCTCTTAAATTTAAAGCATTTTGAGTGTGTTTTAAGCTTGAAATGGGATAACGAAGGGCATCGTATAAAATAACTGGTCTTAAACAGACCAAAGTGGTCAGGATAGCAAAGGGCTGTGCGAAAAGTCCAAAGCAAATAGGTTTGGAGCGAAAGCTGAAAGCCAGTCAAAGCTTTATTATACAAAGGGGAAGCGGATTAATGTACTAAGTGGGGGGTTAGAGATATATTGTTTTTCAGGAAATTCCATTAAAGTAAGTGCTTAAGCCATATTCAAAAGAAACAGACACTTGTCGTGCATTATAAAGTCAACAAATGCTTAATAAATTGTTTAATTGCCTTAATTTGTTATAGCTCTAATATTAGAGCTCTTGTAATTTACGTGACTTATTCAAAATCAGACAACTTTGCAACTTATCATGCAGTCTGTGGCTGACAAAAGCATTCAACTGCCTGCCACACGGCTGTCAACTCCGCCCGCATTTCATCACTCTCTGCATTAATGTCGCGCGTTGTGCGTGTCATTTCCTGGTTTTTGATACAAAAAAAAATAAAAGAAAGATGTCACAGGACTTGGGTCCTGCCTACGTCCGGGGCGCGTGTCTTCATCAACATTTTGGGGCCAGTCACAGTCTGTTTTTTTTTCGCTGCTTTTTAACACATTTACTCGAGTTTGTTGGTGTTTTTTATGTGCATTTTGCGTGGCGTTAACTGCACGTGCCATCAATTTTAACTGCGATTTTTTTCTCACTCCTACTGCTGCCTTCCTTTTTTTATATGCTGCCCTTTTTTGTGGGCGCTGTTTGTTTTCTGATTCATTATGCAGAAGAAAAGGTGCCGGCGCAGCAGCTGCTTCTGCACTTTTCGCCTGCCGCTTGCCATTTTCTTCTCTTTTTTTTTTTAATTTTTCTTCTTTCTCTTCTTCTGTATGCCACGCCTCGCCTAACACCTTTTCATGAAAAATTTTAATTTCATTTTACTTATTTTCTGGCACGCCTATTTTTCTTTTTTTTATGTGTTCTTTGTGTTTTTTTTCGCTGCTCTCCGTTGCCAGGCGAGGATTTTGGGCGCCTCAATTTGAGAGATTTGAAGGCGCTTCTGCGAGCACGCGGCCAGAGCGTAACGGGCAAAAAGCAAACACTAATTGAACGCTTAAAGAACACAACAGCTACAACAACAACAGCAACAACAACAACGATAGTATCAGCAGGCGATCCAACAACTACAACAACACCAATTGGTAAAACAGGAACAAGCTCCCATTTGTCGTCGCCTGGCTCCTCGGAGCGACCTTCTCAGCCGCTGCCGCTCGTAAATAATACTGCCACCAATGCGTCGTCGTCGTCTTCTTCTTCTTCTGCCTGTGGCACCACTTCGACTTTGTCGCCACACAATGGTAGGTAGCTGCTGGTCAGGTACAAATAGGAGTCGCAGTCCTAAGTCCTGCTCTCAGCGCTTGGTTGCACAATGGAGCCGCAGCCGACTTTATCGTCGTGTCGCGTAATCTCAGCACAAAGGAGTTATCGTGTTGCCACTGCCACACGCCTAGCCCCGCCTCATCAACTAACAGAACTTACCCACTAATAGCTCAAGTTGAGTGTTTGTTGCGCGCTTTTCACTTTGTGTGTGTGTTTCTTTCTTTTATTTATGTTTGTGCTCAATTTGAAATGTACTTTTAAATGCCTTATGCATGCAGTTTTTAAACGCTTCGACTGAGCTTTTATAATTTAATTTAAATGCCCAATTGTTACACACGCACCCACGCACAACATGCAACACAGCCAGAGCTGTTGAACATGTATTCAAAATGAAATCGCCGTCAAATTGCAGAGTGCGGAATTCATAATAATACAGCAGAGCAACAAATTTTACATACTCGCCGAGCAGGGGGGGATGCCAAAGCAAGGACCTGCACAGAAGCCAGAACTCATGTAATCATGCAACGCTCATACGCCCCGTTGCAACATTGCAAGGCGCGTTGCCGCTAAGTATGCAACACAGTTGCCAAGCTATTCTGATTGCCCGCCACAGATGACAATATTATAGAGCTGCGCGAGAATGCAAGCAATTTGCATATTAGCCGATATGTGACTGAACACGAAACTGACTATATTATACATATAGGGGGAAACTCGAAACGACAACTAGAAAACTTGATTGGTTTTTAAAGTTTCAAATATGATATTTTACAAAAAATATTTATTAAACGAAAAAGCTTTTTAGCGAGTTTCTAGTCTTTGTTCGAAGAATTTTTTTTAAAAATAATTAATTAAAATTAAGAAACCGAAAAATATAATCCCAATTTAAATTCAACACAAATTGACATACCTTACTTCTTTGTATTAACTGTCTCTGTAGTGATAATAGAAATGCCACCTTTCTGGGTGTGCACTTATTTTTAAACCTAATGCTATGTAAAAAGCTGACCTTTGAATATCCAATTAACTATGTGAAGTTCATGCAAGGTTCAGTTGACCTAAGCTAACAAATGATCTATACTATGCTCAGCTATTTAACATCGCGTAGTCAACTTAAATAAGACTTAATTGCAAGTATACTACTGACACACACACATGGACACACACACACACGTGCAACGACTACAAAAGCTGACTGTTATAAATTTGTAGGCTGATTGCCGCATTGCATTTCCGCCTGCTACACTTTGACCTCAATTCCTTTGAATGTGTGTGTGTGTGATGTCTATGTCTATGTGAATGTGTGACACTTGTTAACCCTGTGCTTGGCCTGCGGAAACTGCCTATTAAGTTTTGATGAGAGCAAAGCACCAAAAGTTGTGGCAAAGACATGACACGCTCCTACAGGATAACAGGAATTTAATCAATGTTTGCACGCCCCTGCACGCTCTGCGGTTTTTGAGGGGTGTTGAAAACCTCTATGGTTAGTGTTTACTTTGGCAACAACGATATAACTGGTAACAACAAAATCAGTGACAGGACTCACAACTCGGTTGTGGGTATTTTATGTGTGTGTGTGAATGCGTATGCGTCATGCTTCCTGTGGTTAGTTATCTGAGAGCAAATGCCGCTTGCCGCTTGTCAAAGTTTGCAAAATTGAACTTTTTGCGTTGTAGGCAATGCTATCCACATACAAATCAAATAGTGTGTGTGTGTGTGTGTGTGTGTGTGTGTGTGTGTGTGTGTGTGTTGTGGCAGGCAGCAGCTTTGATTGCGGCAACGCAATGTGGCAGCACTTTGACACGACAGCAAAACATGAATCAAGTTCATAGAACTTTTTTTTCTTTTGGCCATATTCTTTTAATAGTTTAGTTAGTGCTAGTTAGTTGGGCATAGCTTATACCACATATGGTTTATAGCATTCGAGTATATTTTTATAGTTTCTTGCCACGTACACTAAAACAACAAAGCACAACGCACAGCCACAGATTCGTTGGGTGTGCGTGTGTATGTGTGCGTGAGCCTCGACTCGACTCGACTCAGCGATCAACAAACCGAGACACACGTCTGCAAGCGCGAAAATCAGAAAGTTAACTGAAAATTAACACAAAACTCTCAAACTATCAATAATCAAGCAGAAGCCGCAAACAGAAAAAATATATATAGAAAATAACAGAAGAGAAGTAGAAGGAGAAAAAAAAAAGAAAACATAAAACACACATATAAAATGTGTTTAAAATCCCAAAAAATCAAAGTGCATGAAAATAATAATCACAACAACAGCTAGCAATGAGCGATGGACCTGGGCGCAGTTAGCCAAGCAACAAAACCAACAACAACAACAACAACAGTAATAACAACAACACTAGTTACCCACATTTCAGTGGCGCCGCCGACAACAACAGCAACAACATCTACTGCTTATAGACAGCAACTACAACTAAGACCCAGTAAATGCGCTTAAACTGAGGCAAATCTCTTATTAGAAGCTATTGGGCTGCTGCTTGCATCGCTGGCCACTTGGCGTGTTGCATGTGCCACAGCGAAACACATGTATATATAAATTATATGTATTAATTTCTATATATACATTTATATATATATATTTACATAGCATAGGCGCTTGTGCTTTGTGCTACTTCAAAGCTGCTGAACAAAAGCGCAGCCCACACATGCGACAAAGTGAAAACTTTAACACGCACACTCACTATTTAAAGAGGTGTGTGTGTGAGTGTGTGAGTGTGTGTGTGTTAGTACAGCAACAGCTAATTGAATTGTTGCCTCTGTCATTTGTGTCTCATCTGCTCATTTTTAGCTAGCTACCAATCTTTGCCACATCGCTTGGGGGCAGGCGTCATATGCGTCATGCCTCAGCGATCAATTCGTACGACTAACTGCATTCAACAACCTTGAGTAGCTCTGCGGGCAATTAATACAAAAAAACCTGCAACGCAATCTGACACAAATACTATATAACTATAACTGCTTACAATCATAAGCACTGTTGGGCTAGGTTAGAAACGTTGCCACATCATGACTCGACACTTAACAGAACTTTGTGCCGCAGCTGGCGTTAGAGTAACTAACTCGCAAGCTTCTTGGAAATTTAGTAAAAGCCAAAAGTCACTTTTTCGCATTTGTTTCGACTAAGATTAATCTCTCTTGTGTATGGCTTTAGGGATCTTCAAGCTGTTCCTAAAAACGTTTACGTAGTTTAAAGAAAACTAAAAAAAAATGTATCAAGCTATTGAGAAAACCTTTTAATGTCGCCCCTCATTTTGTCCTACTCTCTTGCCCCATAGATGATGTCAGTCTGGAGTATATCAATGGCATGCCTCATTTGACAGTTCGCCTGCCAAGTCGCAATGAGCTGTGCCAGTTCGCCTTGAAGCCCATCTCGCACACCGTTGGGAATCTGCTGACAATGCTCAGGGAGGAGGATCGGGGCATAGATCGTGCTGCGGTTATCAACAAGCACGGCGTGCGCATTGCTTCCTCCTGCACCATTGAACGATTGCTGGACGATGAATTCAGGTAAGTGCCGCAATATAACACCTGCTGCTTATATCTGACGGGGCTTACCTTTATGGTGTGCATTAAACCACAATCCGCCAATGTCAAGCTAGCGTTACATGAGGCAGGGCCTGTTCAAAGATATGAAACATGGCAGATAAGCAATCAATAAATAGTATGATAAAAAATGTTTCCATGCATTTAAAAAAAAAGTCTCTCAAGCATCACTATAAATCATTGGGCCATTCCACAAGCCAATATAGCCAAGTACCTGGCCTACCAACAAGCTGGCCGGCTTTTTAAGTCCAGCAGAATGCTATATGACTCAAATGCATAAATTCGATTCCGTTCTCAGTTATGTATATGGGATGCATCTCCGGGGTGGGCATAAAATAAAATTGTATGCACAATTGCAAACTCGCGAAGGCTTGTGCGCAACCAAACATTGCATAAAGAGCTGGGGCTTCTAGCCTTACTGGCACCACTTAAAAGAGACAGCAGCCCCAATAACGATTCCAACGTCAACTAGATATACAACTGCCATTGTTCATGGACGGTTGCCACTTGTCTGGCGCCTGAGTCGCTTAAGTTCTATTCAAATTTAAATAGTTACCCCAAGATCCAGCAAACCAAACTTTGTTTCAAAACAAATTTCCATAGACAGCTTAACAGTGTATAAAAGGTGGCGCAAACAAAAATGGACAACTAACTCGTATATTTTTAATGGCAGTATACAAATAAACAATCGCAATTTGGATGTGAAGCCGCCAGAACGCGAAAAGATCACGACGGAGAAGATTGACAAGATGGACGATGTGCGCAAGATCATAGCACAGGTGCGCGAAACAATGAATAGGCCGTATGAATTTCACATAAATCCGAGTTTTTGCAGCTCTACGAGGCCTTCAATGTGGGCGAGTATCAGCTGGAGAAGAGCAATCAATTGGCCAAGGAACTGGAAAACCTGCGTTACGAACTGGAGCCGCTAGAGGAGGTTGGTTGACTATTAAACACATCTAATGGACTAACCCGATTATCAATTGTTTTGTACACCAGAAAAAAATGGAGCTGGTTAAAAATGCTGAGCGCCGAACCAATATGATGACCTGGGTGGGCCTGGGTCTAATGTCCGTGCAATTCGGCATACTCGCGCGCTTGACCTGGTGGGAATACTCTTGGGATATTATGGAGCCGGTGACCTATTTTGTCACCTATGGCACGACAATGGCCATGTACGCCTACTATTGTGTAACCAAGCGAGTAAGTTCGAAGATTGTACTCATTTCAAGGAACCAATATGTTCAATAATCGCATCCAAAATCCCTGCCAGGAATATATCATGGAGAATGTATATAATCGCCAGTACTCGCTGAACATTTATAAGAATGCCAAAAAAGTTCAGTTCGATGTGGAACACTATAATCGACTGAAGCGCAGATCTGCGGAATTGGAATATAATCTGAGACGTCTCAATGATCCCATCAATATGGGTCTGCCAGCTCATTTGGTGCGCACCCAGCTGGATTCACCACCTATTGAAGAGAGCAATGGAACGGAAAAGTGTAAAGAGAAAAGTACTTAAGAACCTCGTGGCTAGCTTCTGCTCTTCTAGACGTCGGAACAGAGACAACAGACCAGAGAGCACATGTAAGGGATGAAGAGAAAGCATGGGAACGAAGGGAAAGCTGAAGTAGCCACCTATAAAAAATGAAACTCAAATCTATATTTAAACACTCGCAAGCTCTCAATCAATCAACTCGTCATTTAGCCAATGTTGTCGTACAGTGATCGAAATTATAGTCAACTCCATATAGATATATTCAGCTATGGTTTTATATGTTTTGCTCTTACTTAATTGTTCATTCGTTTGTTGAGTGTACTGTCCTTTTCTGTTAACTGAATGTTTAGTTAGTTATTTTTTAATTTTTAGCCTAAGCCAAAGTTTTAATGGGCCCAGAAAGCGCACAAATTTCACAAATGACGTCATCTGCTAAAGGTGTTTGCTTGACTTTTGTTTAGTTATTTATTTAATCAGTGATTTGTTTTTAAGCATCAACTGTGTGCGTTGTGAAAGTTCTAGTAAAATATATGATTTATTTATTGAATATTAACCCCTTTGAGTTTCTTTATTTAATTTTTTTTTTCTCAATATTTGAATTATTCCACGCTCTTGAGATGAACTCTCTTTAGTTTTCGGGTTATGAGATTTCCGTAAAAATTACTCCATTTTTTTAAAGAGTTAACTTGTCTAAAGCCAACTTGCAACATGCTCTTGGGCTAAATTAAATTTCTAAAAACCCTTTGCATACTTTAAAGCTGAAGGGAGAACGAATATAAAAGTTAATTTCTTTTTGTTTTAAGAGCTGAGGGAATGCCAAATTGATAGCTATAATTCCCAGGCTGAAAAAAGAAAACTTAAAATATATTTGTATATTTAACTGAAAGAACATCATATACTTAACCACCTATTATAAATATATTTTAATTTAGACAGGGGCGCTCATCAGTGTGAAGAAAACCGTGAAAACTTGCAGTGAAATCTACTAACTTCCTAAGCTTTAATATACCTACTTAGCATATACTAACTATACTAACTATTTACGATAACAAATACTAGATACATATATATATATATATATATATATATATATATATATATACAAATTGTAAATACAAACGCACCAACTATTTCATTAAGAGTTTTAGCAACAACAACATTTAACACACAAATTATGTAGTTAGTAATGTTTACGAAATTCCTAAACTAAAATGATAATGAATATGAAAATGATGCCATAACATTAGTGACAGCAACTAATTTGATAGGTACTTATAAATTATAAAAATGTACATGTAAATATATAAACTGCTGTGTTTCATGACAACGTAAACGATATTTAAGACCCGAAATTGTTTTCAAAATGGCAAGAAAGTTACAAATGGAAATAGCTGCAAATAAAGTCTAAAATGAATTTAGTATAAGCAACTGGACTTTGATAATTGGCCACTAGTTTAACTGTTTTACGCTTTCGCTCTAAAGCTCTAAACCTAGAATCGCGAAAAAGGTTGTGTTAAAAACTTTATGCCTATATCTACTATGTGCTGTATTAAATCTAAACCCTGAAACCAATCACTAACATTCACACTCGGAAGCTTATAAGCCACACTCTAGCATAGCTTTTCAATGCGCTCACTACACTTAAAACAAATACGCATATTTTAAATACACAACTAACCAAATATAACATAAGCCTAAGTATTATTCATACATACAACAAATATTTAAAAGACATTTGTGATTCAATTTGAAATTATAAAGAAAATATTGTTTTTTATTTGTATAAAAAAACAAGAAACAAATAATAAACTAAAATTCACTTATTAATTAAACTTTCCTAAATAATATTTGAAGTAATTGTCTAAAATTCCCTAAAATTCATTTAATTTACTTAAATTTACTAAGAGTATTCCCATACTTATATTGTTGTAATCAGCGCCAAAGACTTATTAAAAAACTAACAAACAAAAAAATTGTACCCAGCCTTCTTTAAAATGAAAAAAGAAAACTATGATGCTCGTTAAAATACTTATATATTATATTAAAACCTAACTATTGTTAACTGTACTTATAAAACAACATCAAAACTGGACTAATCCCCACAAGGTGTTTAACTGTTCTTAAGATACTTAATATTTATGATTCTGAAGTACCTTTTTTTCGAAAAAAAAAACAATCTTTAATCTTTTTAACGAATTTATATTAAAAAAAAAACCAAACAAAACAAACAAAAACAGAAATTATGATAAGTGCTTTAAGTATTCAATTGTTTACATTTTGACTAAACAAGAACAAACATGCGATTTTTTACATTTATAAAAACATAAATTTGTTTGTTAAACATAATCAAGTTCAGGAACCCAGCTTCAAAAATACTTAAAATTCTAAAAACAAACGGAAATGAAAATGATTAAATAAATAAAAAAAGTATACATACATAACAAAAAATTATGCGGCAACTAGACAACTGATTAAAAATGATAAATAAATAAAAAATTGAAACATAATTTTAAAAAATAGAAAAACATTTTAGTATTTATTAGAGAATGTTAATAATCCCGTTTTAATTTGCTACTAAAACGTACAAAAATACAATCACGAGATTTAGATAGGTTTTAGAAATAAATATTCATGCACAGCGTATTTCCAGCCTGAAACAGCGATTCGAATCCGTTGTATTCCATCTAACCAGCTCAGCAATAGGCCGGCTAGGCTTGAGGAACAGCGTTAGCTGTTCGTTAAGCTGCAGCGGCGAAAATTTGCTGACGATCAGCGCCTTTGTGGAGTCCCGATATTTGCCGACCAATGTGTCATTGCCGAAAGCGCGACCTCGTCTGTCAGCTACCTCAAAGGTGTGCTTGGCCTCGTTGGTGGCATCATCGATGAGGCGATAGCTGGGAAATCGATCCGGATTGTAGCCCAGCTTCTTGCAGATATCACGCACTTCGGATATGCTTGGTGGCGAAGTCTTGGGAAAGCATTTGGTGTGCCAAATACCATATGTTTGTTCAATTACTTGGCCATACTGTGATACTAACTTCTTGTGACTATATTCACTATGCGCCCAGTAATCCTGCTGCTGCTCCTGCAGCGGGTGCTCAATACCAAAGCAGAAGCGCTCATCCTCGCCGTTGGGACAATCAGGATGCTTGTCGCACACAAAATCACGTGGTATGCAATCCTCAGGAGAGCTAAAGGGTTAAAGAGAGTTAAAGGCGAGGCACCAAGTGCTTGTTTATAGTTGACTTACGAGCTGCATTGAAAGTGATCCGCGGTACAGTTGCACAGCACCGAACTTTCATCGCTCTTGTCCCAGCAATTGCGCTTGCCATCGCATATCTTGGAAGGGTCCGTGGCCCTAAAAGGAATCAATATCATTACTATTTACTTTATCAATATCAAGCTGTATATATCTCACTGCAAATACGTAAAACAGCTACATATTGTGGGTTCATCCGTCATATCCTGACAGTCCGGCACATGATCACAAAACTTGCTCTTGGGCACACACTTGGCGCTCGTACGGCACTTCATTTCGCCCGGTGCACAGCGTTGTTTCAGCTCACGGCATTTGGACACTTCCTCATCGCTCCCATCGTGACAGTCGCTGCGGCCATCGCAGAGCGCCGACTGCGGCAGACAGACGCCCAGGGGACAACGATGTGTTTCACATGGAGGCGATGACTGCACATTGGTGCAATGCGGTTGATCTGTGCAGAATACATCGCAGTTAAATAGTCAACTAGAATTGCACACAACTACAAATTAAATACCCATAATTTCCTGCAGTGACTTGTAGGCCTCGTTCAGTGTCCTAATGCCAAAAGGCGCTCTGAAGCTTTGGCAGTTGGTATTATTATAAATAAAGATTGCCGAAGGATACCAGCCGGTGTGCGAATCCCGGCACACAAGCACGCCCTGATCGCTGGGCTGCACTTGAACATCACTCAGATTCCTCTGTCCAAACTGCGTGCAGCTGGTGAATTTGGTGAGTGCAGGCATCGCCCTGGCCGTGACACCGCTAAGCAGTTCCACTTCGTCCGATATGGATGCCATATCCTCGGCGCTTACATTTAGCATGCGCATCAAATTACCTGAGGGCTGACGCTCCTGCATTTGATAGCAGGAGTTGCAGCTGGTATCATTGCTGACTCTTGTAATGGCCACCGTCTTGATGCGTCCAGTGAAATCATCATGCAGCATGCTGATGCATTCATGCGGGGCGCTCTCTTGTTCATCAGAACTGTGGAATAAACGGGTTCTCAGTAAGCTTAATTTATGGACAAATTCAGGTACTTACATATCAGGCAGAAAAGTGGGCAGGACGTAGTGCGTAAATCTTGCCGGCTGCTCCAGATGATACAGCAGTACATTGGACCTGGGCACCGCTTCAAAGCAGTCCACACGAAGTATCTGTTCGTGGGTGCTGCGGTGCAAAGAGCGCTTGGTCTTGCCACCGCCCAGCAAGGCGCTGATGTAGTGCGTATCAAAGCTGCAGAAGATTAGAGCAGATCAGAAGTTATCATAGACTGATAGATGCACCCAACAAACCTTATGCCGGTGAGGCAGCTCTCGTGCACCAGCAGCCAGTGCTTGTCCAGGAGGACTCCCAGACACCAGAGTTCACCATTCACATAGACATCAGCCAGCCAAGGCCAATGCAGCTCCTCAATGGCCTCGTGCAGCTGCTCCTGCACCAGCAGCGTCTTGTTATTCTTGCTCTTGATCAGCATGTCCAGGCGATCCATAATTTCATCCTTTTTGTTGACCAGCTGCGCCGGCTGCTGCGGTTTAAAGTGCACATTTGGCTTCTTGTGCGTGCTAATTGTGGGCAGCAGCTCCGGTAGATTCCCAGTGGGACGCTGAATTATCGCCTGTCCAGCGCTGAAGGTTTTCAGCGGCAATGTAATATTAGAACGGGCATTGCATTCCACATAGATGCCCAGACACTTGTTGGGCACGATACGCGCCTTTTGTCGCCCGTGCGGCACTTGCTGTGCGTGCTTCGGGAGAACCATCTCCGTGCTGGTCAGCTGGACATTGTCCCGCATCAGCGCTCGCAGCTGGTTGCCAGAATGTGATCTGATTAGCTCTGGGCTAACGGGATGCATCTCCTGCTGGCTGACAAACTCCGTGCTGTTGTAGTAGTGGGCGCCCCTGAAGCCCAGCAAGGCGCAGATTGTATCCGCCGTCTTAGCCTGTTGCTCATGGAAGCCTGTCTCATGGGCGCAAACCACGCGCCACGAACCGTGCGTATTCTTCGAGAAGACGCCAGCGCTGCTGAACTTGGGCTGCTGATGCGCATCGAAGTGCACATCGTGGCCGTTGGTTAAGGCAACTGTGAATGGAGAGTTAACAAGTTAATTGCGAGCCTGGAGCTGGGCGAAACAACATACAGCAATCCTTTTCATCCTCACTGAACTTGCAATCCACAACTTTGTCACAGCGCTTGGCCAGCGGCAGACAGCTCTTGGACAGCGCGCAGTGGTACTCGTGCTCCTGGCAGCCACCTGCAGTTGGATAAATTTCACTTTAAATGATGCAGTGGCTCTTTGGGTTTGCCTTGAGCTTACCACAGTTCTGCTCATCGCTCAGATCCTCACAGTCGGCTTTTCCATCGCAAATGAGTGTGCTGAGGCCGCCCTTGAGATAGTCACGACAGCTGCACTCCAGTTCATCGGTGCCATCCTCGCAATCCACTCTGCGATCACAGCGATGCTGCAGATCCACAATTTGAGGCATTCTGGACAGTTAAAATTAGGCATTAATGATTTATAAACTACTCCAAACTACTAAAGCTGGGAATAGGACTTACTTCCGACAGATGAACTTATTGGGCAGCTGCTTGTCCGCCGCGCTGACTTTGCTGCGCTCTGTTGTGCTTGGCTTTGGGGTTGCGGCTGATGCAGCTGTTGTTCTTGGTGTAGTTGATGTTGTTAGCGTTGTTGTTGCAGTTGGCTGTGATGCGGGTGAAGTTGTTGTTGCTGGTGTTGTTACTGTTGGTGCCAAAGTTGAAGTTCTCTCTGTTGTTGCCAGAGTTGTCTCTGTTGTTGTGGGCTGTGTCACAGCTTCTGTTGTGCTGCTGTCGGCGGCTTTGGAAGCCGCCAAAGTTGTGCTCTCAGCGTGAGTTGTTGTTGCAACTGTTGTTCCAAGTGTTGCACTTGTTGTTGTGCCCATATTGGGCGCATCTGTCGTGAACGCGAACAGCGTTGTGTTTGCAGTTGTTGACTCTTCAAGCAGCTGGCTCATCAGATCCGTCAATTTCATCAAATCCTCGGTGGGTGTTGGCCAAACTGTTGTTGTAGGCGGCGGCAAAGTTGTGGTCAAAGTTCTGTTTGGCAATGTTGTTGTTGCTGTTGTTGTCGTTTGCAATATGGTTGTTGGTAATGTTGTGGTTGTTATTGCCGAAGTGGCTGAAGTCGTGTTGTCAAGCTCCGCTTCATTCTCTGCTGCCGGCGTGCTGCTCTCCTCAGTTATTGTCCATGTATCAGTCTGTGCTGTTTCTGGTGTTGTGCCGAGCTGTCTGGTTTCGTTTTCGGGTGGTGGCGCTGTCAGCATATGCGCAATCAAATTCGCATCTTCAATAGAAACATCCTGACGCTGCTTGTGCTCCGTCTGCTGTGCTTCCTGGTCGTGTGCTGCCGTTTGTTTCTGTGGATAATAGTCGCTTTCTGTGGTGCTGCTTACTGTTTGCTGGCTGCCCACCATGTCGGGAATAAAGTTGTAGGCACAGCCCACCTCATCCTCGCCGCCCAGGCAGTCCACGTTGCGATCGCAGCGCAAACGCTGGGAAATGCAACGCTTGCCGCCCCAAACGCATATGAATCCCGGACAGTGCTGCAGCGGCTGGCGTGCTGGAAGCAAGCCTGGCTTCACGGCTAGCTCCAGCCAGTCCAGATAGAGGGCAACCCGTGTATAGACGCCGAACTCTTTGGGTCGCGCACAGCCATTGCCGTGGCTGACGACGCCCGCCAAATACCATTGTTCCGGCTGACTGACGCTGCGGCAGAAGAGCGGTCCACCCGAGTCTCCTTGGCAGGCATCGCGACCACCACCCGGCTCACCGGCACAAACGTCCTCAGAAGCCCGATCCTCGGGATCCGTGCAGCCTTTGCGTATGGGCACAATGACCTGGCGCATGGCATCACCTGCAGCATATACAAAATTCAGTATGATTTGTCAAATGTGATCTCACGCACACCTACTGCTCGGACCCTTCTCCCTTATGGCGCCCCAGCCAATGACGGTGCAGAGCGTGTGCTCCTCTGGACCCCAGATCCAGTCTTGGCCAAAGGTGGTTCGTCCCATATCTGGCAAGCAAATAGGCTTCACCCAGCGATTGAACTCCAGCGGCGCCGCAACGCGCAACAGGGAGAGATCGTTGCGCATGCTGCGGCGCTCGTAAGCCTGATGCACCACCACATGGGAAACACTTTGTATCTGAGTAGCCGGCGAGTAGCTGGTGCGGCGCAAGAGTCCAGCGCGCACCTCATAGTAATACTTGATATAGTTGATTACACAGTGCGCCGCGCTGATGATCTATGAGTTGGTTTTAGATGCTGCTAAGTAGAGGTGGCTTCTAAATGTCCAGACTTACCCAATGCTCCGAGTAGATGGTGCCGCCACAGTGGAACTTGCCATCTCGGTAGATGGCCACCACGAAGGGCCACTGCAAGGGACTTGCATAGCTGCCGCCCACGATCCGACCTTTATCCGACTCCAGGCGATCCTCAATGGGTGCCCTCTTCGTGCGCTTTGCGCGCCCACTCGCGCTCGGCTTGCTGGGCAGGCCACACTGCGGAGGCGGACACTTGACGTAGGCAACGTGGTCGACCAGCGTGTCCTGACCATTACGTCCATGGCAGCCTTGGGCAAAGTGTATGCCCGCATGCAACGAGGGCTCTATGAATGGACCCGACAGCGTAACCTGTTTGAAGGTAAGATTTGCGGATTGATTGAGGTCCTCCGATTCACAGGCGGCGGCCGCCCACCTAGCGCCATTGTTGCATACAGGATACCAATCGCCGCGATGATTGTGATACAGATAACCCTCCGAAGCAGAAGCTGCATGTGACTAAGTAGCAACAGGAAAATTTACTAAGAGTAATCCTTATAGGAGTACGCCCAGAGCTTACCATATGATGGCCAACATCTGTGAGCAGCATGCTGCACTGCAGCTCATCGCGTCCGTTGAAGCAGTTCTGGAAACCATCGCAGCGCTCGTGGCGACTGTAGCACATGGACAATGTGGAGCGATTATGTCGCGCATATTCCTCGGCATTCTCGTAGCAGGAGTGCGCCAGAGACTCACAGCCAAAGCAGCCCAGCTCATCCTCGCCCATGGGGCAGTCCGCATAGCCATCACACAGACGCTCCTCATCCAGTCGATCGGCGCAGGTGCAGGCCGACTCATCGCTGCCATCAGGACAGTCGATGACATTGTCACACCAGCGCGATGCGGCAATGCACTCCTGCTGCCCATAGCAGGCCAGCTGATCCGCTTCCGGGCACTTGAAACGCTGCTGCGGCTGTTCCGGCAAACCCAGATAGGAGGCGTAGATGATCTGGCTCTGATGAGCCATGCCCGTCTGATTGGCATGCCGCATCTTGAAATTGGCATTGGAGAAGCCCGCCTGGCTGCCAGACGACAAATTGTTTTGCATCGTTTGTCCCTGTCCGGCTTGTCCCTGCTGGTTTTGCATGTAGGTGCAGTAGACCTGCTGCTGTCCATTTTGCTGCTTCTGTGGTGATGCGTTCTTCGAGAAGATGTTGGGCAGCTGATTCTGTGCACCGCCCGCCGTACCGCCGCTGCCGCCAAAGAAATTGCCCGATGGCCCAAACTGCTGCGGTACAAAGAATATGCCGCCGGCATTGGACGAGCCACCAAAGTGGGCGCCCTGCATGCCCATAAACGAGGGCGTGGGCGACCACATCGGCATGCGGAAATTGGCGGGTGTCATATAGAAGCACACAGGTATGCTGGGCATGCCAAAGCTCGGATTAAACATGAACTGGGCGGAGGCTTTCATTGTTTCGCCAGAGACCGGAAAGCCCCCCGGTCCGCGGCTAGTAAACTGCACGCTGGGCGATGCAGTAAACGGTTCCATCTCACCAGAGCCGCCCTCTGCGGCCGCCTTTTGTCGCAGTCTTCGTGTTAATTGCGCACACATAGACATGAGCTGTGCATCGGCGGCTGGAAGGAAATAGTATATATCAGAGCTGTGAACGACACAGGCTAGCTACAATTGTTTTACCATTTGGCACCTTGCCACTGATAGGGTTTATTTTGGGCCCCATTTGCTGCAGACTCTTGGCATCCAGCTCCGTGCCAAAAGTGTCGATAAGCTCGTCCTGTGGCGGCGCTGCATCCTGCTCGAACTTCTGCAGCCAATGATTGCGATCATAGACATTCGGAGTCTTGGACTTTTCATGGTTTGTGGTCTCATTGCTGGGTAGCACTTGGATAGCAGGCTTCTCTTGCTCATCACTAGGCACAACTTTGAGAAGCGGCTTGTCCTGCTCGTTGCTAGGCAGCACTTTGAGTAAAGGCTTCTCCTGCCTATGGCGCTCAAAGCTGTCCAGCATGTTTTCTATGCTGCTGGGATTATCCAATGGATGCACCGCACGTGCACCTTCAGTGGTGGACTCTGTGGTGGTCTCAGTAATGGTTCCAGTGGTGGTTTCAGTGGCTGCAGCTTGGGTTGTGTTATTCACTTCATTACTGCTGGCGTCGCTGTCAATAATCCAACTGATCTTCATTGGCTTGGGCTTGGTCGGAAATGCGGTGCGATTGAACCCATCCACAGCTTCAGTTGTTGTGGTTGGGCTGAGCGTAGTAATGGGCATTGTGGTTGTACTGACTGTACTAATGGGCATTGTGGTTGGACTTAACGTAGTGGAGTCCGGCTGCATGTCTTTATCTTCTACGTCCGTCGCGTTCAGTCCTGCGGTTGTTTTCGTGAATGATTCGGGTGCATCTGTTGTAGGCGCTGTGGTTGTATTTGTGCTGGGCTGGGTCCTATGGTCATCGGAGTGCAATGGACCCGGCTGAATTTCAAAGCTTGATAAGCTGGTTGTCTCTTGTAGCACAACCTGAGGCGAAATAGTTTTCTCTGTGGTGCCTGTGGTTGTTTTCTCATTAGTTCCCTCTGTGGTGTGTACAATCTCTTTGGCCTTATCGAAGCGGTCCAGAATCCAAGTGATTTGATCTGTGATATTGTCCGAGTCTAGTCCCTCGGTGGTAAGAATTGCCAAGGGCTCGTTCGTGGTGACGGTGAAGGAGCTGCTGCTGCTCATACTACTTGATGTGGTGGCATCTATTGAGGTGGTAGCTGTTGTATTCTCTTCTGTGGTGGCGGAGGAGCTACTGCGTGTGCTATTTGATGTGGTACTCTCTATTGTTGTTGTTGGCGTTGTGCTCTCCATTGTTGTTGTAGCCAACGTTGTGGTCATATTGATCTGATCCATGGCTCTCGGCGTATTCTCAACATATGCCTCCTGCTCGTCGTGGCCAGGACCATCGATGATCCAACTGATTTGTGCTGGTTTAATCTTAACTCTATTGGGTTTCAGCGTTGTCTCCTCGTTGTCAGCCACGCTGACATTGGTGAGCGGAGTTGTCACCTCTTGTTGCTGCTCCACTGTTGTCCTGGTCGTCTTGGCTGGTGCATATGTATGAAACTCATGCGACTCAATGCTATGGGATCCTAGGTGATCCCTAATAATTTCCTTCATCTTGTCCATTTTCTCGGTAACCTCTTTGGCCATCTGGTACATGCGCATAAAGGCCGACATGCAGTCCTCTGGAGTCTGTTTCTTGCATCGCACGTACTCGCTCTCCAACTGGCTGAGAGCAGCCCTGGCACGTTTGCTGCGCATCCTTGTATACAGATGCTGCATGTTGGCCTCCAGCTGGAGGGGATCAATCAGATCAACAGACTGCAAACTTCGAGGTAGTCGAAGCTTTCGCTTCATTCGAAACTTGAAGCGCATATGCTTTAAGCGCAATGACTGCTCCTCGCTCTTGGTAGCTATTCTATCGGGATCATCTTTCTTTAGCGGTATGTGAAAGGGCTGCAGTTGTGGTCTTTTTGCCAAGACATCTTCATCGATGGGTTGCAAGTTGTGCGCGTGCTTTTCATTGAGCGCCATTATTTGACGCAGGTGATCTGAAAAGGGTAATCATATTTAAGTGCTAAGATGAGGCTTTTCCTGCTTCTGTGCTTACCCATGCGCTCGAGTACAATGCCATGATATATCAATGAGATCATCAACGTAATAAGTACCAATGTGGATATGATTAGGATACGTGTGCAGGGCAGACGAAAAATGCAGCAGCGACGAGGAACTCGCTGCGTACGCTTAGCCTCCAGCTCTGAGAAAGTGTATCAGATAGTAGTCAAATATTTTATTAAACTAAGACGCCCTCAAAGAATCTTCTCTCTCGCTGCATATCTCCTCCCACTTGCGCTCTCATTGCAAATTAATTTTACCCACACACAAATCAAGTAACGTTTTATTCAAGTACTGCCTCGCTATGCGATTCTCATATATTTCTTTGCACATTAACAAGTTATGTTGTTCATAAACTATCTGCTCATTCTCTCATTGTAATGAACTCTCTTGTACTCTGTTCCTCTTCTCTTTCTCGATAGTTAAAAGTTATACATTTTGGTATGTGCAATGCAGACAGAGTATAGCTTAGTCGATTCACACCTAGACTCTATATATTGTAGGTGTTCAAATAAAATACTTTAGTGCAGCCGTGCAAAAATTTGTGTTTACAAGTTATTAATTTTAACATTATTCAACCAATTTTTATCAACATATTTTTTTTTTTGTTTAGCGAGTTCTTTACAGGCCAATTTCGCAATTTGCAGAATTGCTGATTTAATACATTTTCAACCTGAACAAAATGGAAACATAAGCTTAAAAATCTGACAAATGCTTGTGGCAAACTTGCTAAATTTCAGTCAAAAAAGTAATTAAAATGACGATTTGTATTTATTCTAAGAATGTTATGCAATATCCGAGATCACCTACCATCCACACTTTCTTTCATTTTACTAAATATTGATTAACTTGATTACACTTTATTTCCAAATAAATATTATAAGCATGTCTGAAGGATATATTGTAATTCCCTTAACAGAATTTGACACAGTTTTTGATTTGAGATTTTAATTAATTTTCTTAGTTTCACTTAATAGCACTTGTTTATTATACAATGGGCTACCAAAAGGAGCATCCGATTACAGCGATTCACTCAAACAAAAAACGAAAGCAATCAGCAGCAACAAGTGCTGGGTAATCCAAAGGGCTGACCGAGTATACGGTATCAGACGACACGATGACACGACGATTTCCAATGCGAGCGACTTCCGCGCGTTTCAACCGGCTCCACACGGCAACTGAAGACATCGTCGACGCTGGACGCGCTTATGAAGCTTTCGGAAAGTGGATCAGCTTGTGCTCGACGACGACGTCGACCCAGTTTTGAGGTGCAATTTGCTGTGCTGTGTACAAAATGTTTTGAACTTTACAATTTTTTGGTTAATGAAAATGGCAAACGAATTGCGTGCGATGCAGAAAAATGCGTCAAGAGTGCAAGTTGAAGGGAATCGCAGAGCAACGAACCACCCACCCATGCGACCAGCTTACCGATATCAATTGGAATGGGTGGCAATGCCCTTTGTTGGGGTCGAGCAAGCCTTGACTTATAGGGTTTTAGTCGTCATTTTACAAATTTTGTACACTAAAAACGTACATCAAAAATATTTTTTTAGTTAAAGACCTAGAAAACAGACACGCAAATAAATATACCCGTTGATAAAAAAACCTCCATGAAAACTTCCGAGGAAACAGTCCGAATCAAAATTTTATTATCAGATTTAATGTAAGTAAATAGCATAAGTGACTATATAAATTATATTTCATTTAAATATGAATAACTAACTGTTCTATCACACAGAAATCACTCACAAAAAATTGATGCAAAATTCAGTAAAGTGTCTGCTTTATCAACTACTGCGATTAGTTCACCTCACACAACGGGTGAGCAAGATGTGCGGTACAATTCTATATTCCCAGCCGAGCCAGAACGAATGGTGAGTACGCCAAAAAGATACATACTATCTGTTAGGAATAGCTCTAGAGTTTAGAACAGCAAGACGCAGATTTATAATTTTACAAAGTTAAGAAACAAAAAATCTTTTTATTCGTTCGAATTGTTTTTTAGTTCAAGATTAAAGTAAAGTAAAGATTCGATAATTCGTTCATATCGAGAACATAAATATTAAATGAAATTCTCAAAATGTTATTGTATAATAGTCGTCTTTCGTGACAAGAGTAATATAGCAGATAATGATTGGAATCATTTGTAAATGTATGGTTTATGATAAGGTCCTAGCTTAGGGGCTGTCCACGCCACGTGAAATTGGCTTGCTGGTGGGACATTTCTCCTCCTCCAGCAGTTCCATCAACTGGCAAAAAAGTTCACGGCTTATATTGTTGCTCACGCGCATCAACATAAACCAATCGGCGCAGCTAAAGCCGCGCAAGGCACACTTCAACGAAGATTGTTGCATGAAACGAGACTGCGTGCGCAGCAGCTGAAAGCGCAGTCCACGATGGAAAAGGATGAACATACGATAAATAAGCTTTAGGCCGGCCAATAAAGCCATTACCATGAACCAGACCCACAGAAAGACAAAGATTTTCTCATTCAAATTGTTGAGTGGCAGTAGGCACAGATTATCAACTGATTCCAAGGTGCCGCTGGCGCCAAACTTTAAAATCTCGCATTTGGCAATCTTTGGAAATATGTGGGCGGTAATGCGATTCCACTCATCCCAGTTGTACTGAGGCACTGCGGCCAGTGCCTTTACATAGCGCGCCCAGAAGCCATCCAAAAACACATTCAGCAGCAGCATATTGACAATCTAAAGTAAAAGAATGATTTAATCAAACTTTCAATTTGGGAGCTGGTGTAGCTTACGCTAATGACAAAATTGCACACTTCACAGAACATGTAGGAGACAAAGTAGCGCAGATGCGAATCCTTGTAGTCGTTGGCAAAGTATTTGGCCACCTTGCGCAGTTGCGTGGTGGTCTTTTCGCGCGATACTAACACATCGTCCAGATTGGCACAGAGGTTTTTTAGTCGCCCGCCTTCCCATATCTTCCAGAGAAACGCAGGCAGGTAGAAGATAAACGACTGCAGCAATAGCACCGGCACCACCCACTGGTAGTAGCGCAGAAAGACGCGCTCCTGTCCCTTAGCAGACTGCAGCAGCGGTGCCGTATTGAATAGTAGATTGCTATCGATTGTTGGCTTAAATTCTTCAGTTTCAAAGCTGCGCCTGTACTGAAGCTCAACTTTTTCTTCCCGGTCAGCTGCCAAGGCGTCGTCGTCGTAGTTCATTATGTACATTCCCATAGTCCAGCAGTGGGAGTTAACAAAATCCATTGAATGCATGTTGGATATGCAGATCAAAGGATCACCAAAGTATTGCTTCGCGGATAGCAGAACCGTAAACGCTAACAATAGAGCGCATGTAACTTTTGCGTGCAACGTGAATACTCCATCGTAAATGCGAACCGACTTCAGTTGCAAGTATTTCGAAAGAGGCTTAACTGCAGTATACATTTTTTTTCACAATTTAGTTGAGATGAACAGTCAAACGTTGAATTTTTATGTTTTTAGAGTTTATTTGCAGATTTTGTTAAAAACACGCGGGAAGTTAACGGTTAATGTGGGCTGACCAGCAGTTTCGTATTTTTGTTTATCTATCGTTGAGCGGTTCTGTTATGTGAGGAGTAATTCTGTAAAGTGTTATCGGCAGTTTTGGCTTCTGTTAGCTGTAAATTCAAGACACACGCCGTCTTAAATTAGAATCGGTCGCCGCTAAAGATATGATTAATTTTAATTGTGTAGTTTACGGCATTTTACACTTTCTGCTTAAAGGGTTTTTGAGAACAAAGTAACTTCAAATAGTATGCTGTTAATAACAGGCGAGCAAAATGTTAACAGCGCAATCGAACTATGTGAACATCAATGGTTCGTTTAATCGAACTTGTTCCAAACGATTCGGTACAACTATAAAACTCACATGTGTTTTCATTTTCCTTGCGTTGTTCAGTTTAACCAACAGGCGAATGAAGATGAAAGAGCAACAATCATCAAAGCAGCAGGAGCGCAATGAAAAAAAGAAGAAAAAATTGGCCGCGCTGGCAAATCTAATACAGATGAACGACAGGGATCGCATTCATGAGTCTGAGCAGAAGCACCGTGACACCGAGAACGATGAGGAGGAGGATGATGGTTTTGTCACAGTGCGCAGCAAGCGAAAGACACGGAATCGTCTAACAATTGTGGCAGACAGCAACAGTGACACAATCGCCTCTAATCCTGCCGATGGTGGCGAGGTGGAATCCGGAGAGCCCGAAATAAAACGCAGCCGCAACAATTCAGCTGGCGGAGACAATACACTTGACAGTTTGCCGGCTACCCTAACCCAGGAACAATACAGGTCTCTGTCCACGGATCTGCGACGCCGTAAGCGGGAACTGGAAAGCGTGCCTGGTGTCCATTTACGTGATATGGGCAGACGTGCGCTTCTGGAAATACCGCAGCAGGAGCGTACGCCTATCTTTTTGACAGATATACAGCATCTGCTGATGTCGGCGCTCATTGGTAAGAAGAGTCCTTGCGCGCCCGACCGCTGGTGCTGTGCTGATAAGTTTCAAAGCCTGTCGCATAGCGTGGTGCTTATACTAGATGGCTTGTCGCTCTATCACTATATATCGAATGAGAGCCAATTTGAAGCTACCAATAAAATATTCGATACCAAGCTGGAGGTGGTGCTTCCGCCGCATGATGAAGGCAGGATCATTGATGCAATTGCTCAGGTCAGTTGTGTACATTACTCAAATATACAGCTTCCACTGACACCCAACTGATTTTTTTTTTTTTTAGATTCCACTTACCAATGTGCAGGCTCAGAAGTTAATCAACGAACATGGCTCTCTGGAATCTGCCGTGGAGCTGAACAAGGATCCTACACTTTTTGTAAAGGCTATTTTTCCCATTGAGAAGCAGTCGCCTTCCGCGCTAACAGAGCCGACAATTTTGCACCCAGATGACAAGTTTCCGCGCACCAAGCTGCTGCTCTCGGCATTGCAATTGGTCGACGAGGGCTATCCCATACCGCTACAAGGCGAGCTGCACGCCCGATTCAAGTCCTTCATGTTCACAAAGAAATCATATGCGCCTGTAACGGATTGCAGTCCTATGTATGGTGTCGATTGTGAGATGTGTCGCACCATATCTGGGGCGAACGAATTGACGCGTATTTCCATAGTGGACGAAAAATATCAGACCGTGTACGAGACGTTGGTTCGTCCCGTCAACAAAATCACCGACTACCTCACACAGTACTCGGGCATAACGGCTGATATTATGGAATCTGTGACGAAAACGCTAGCAGATGTGCAACGTGAAGTCTCGGAGCTTCTACCGGCGGACGCGATACTAGTTGGTCAATCGCTCAACTCAGATCTGAATGCCATGCGTATGATGCATCCGTACGTGATAGACACCAGTGTTTGTTTCAATATTAGCGGCGTGCGCAAACGCAAAAGTAAACTAAAGCACCTAGCCAAGAGGTTCCTGCAGGAGAGCATACAGGAGAATGAGGATGGCCATGACTCCATTGAGGACTCGCGCGCCACACTCAAGCTGGTCAAGATGAAGCTGGCAAACAGCATTGAGTTTGGTGACGAGATTCTCACGCAGCGGAAGCGCATTCACGACGTGATACGTGCCACCAGCGGCGATGGCCTTAGAAATAATTTGTTTGCTCATGCGGCCAAGCGGGACAAGCGCACGGCCATTGTGACTGTTGGTGATTTGCAGCCGCGCCTCAAGGAGGTTATTAGAAAGGCGGAACAGGCTGCTTCAAAGGACAGTTGCAAATCGGTTTATGTGCACGAGGTCTCCACAACCAAGGAGGCGGTGCGTAAAGTTAACGAAATAGCGCTGGAGAATGCGCTGACCATTGCCAATCTTTTTGTGCCCGAGCAGGATTTTGTTCTAGAGAGCGCTGAGCGCACAGCTGCTAAATTGGATCATTTTATTGAACGAGTATGGAACACGATGGCACACAATGGCCTCTTTATGGTGCTGATGGGCGGCTCTGCCGAGTGTCAGAAAGGCGTGGCCAAGATTGCCATTAAGCGACGAAACGGTAGCATCCCAAAAAGTGCCCTCATAACCACTGGTGTATCGGCGGACCCATGAACATTATAATCACACACACACACACACAATTCACCCACACATGTAGATTGTGCACGGTATGTACATATATGCACACACACACACACAGGTACATAAAAATAGAATTAGGAACTCAAGAAAGTAGCATAAACCCCTATGAAAGAATCAAATAGTCCAATAATTGATAAATTCGCGTCCAGTTTTCGCAATAACTTTTGGTACTTGTAGCGGCACATCAGAGTGAGCATTGTGCAAAGGAAAATTTGCCGTAATTTTCCATCTGATGTAATGCAAAAAAACTTTTAGCCTTTAAATATTTTCAATAGCTAGAAAAAAGTATCAAAGTACGACTAAATTTTCAAAAAAAAAAAAAAAGCAAAAAACAAATAGAAAACAACACAAAAAAATTGCAACTTAAACTTTTTCGAAGAAAGCTGATAAATCCATGTTGTTTGTAAATCAAATTAAGAATCGAATGTTGGTTCCGGAAGCAAGAACAATGACAAGTTTTCTAATCAAATCCTGAAATAAAGAAAAACACGATTGTTATTTAAAATGCTTTCCATACATATTTTATGATGTCAAATTTTGCAAACCTTTTCTATACAAATATACAATATTGTTGCTTTTTAAGTTAACGTAAGCAATGGGTAAGTCGGAAGTAAAACTCTGGGAATTATAGTAACAATCATATTTTACCCAATTTGAAGAACATAAAACATGTTACAAAATGCCCTTAAATTATAATTTTTCACAGTCTTGCAATTTAAAAGAAATGCATTACGAAATTCTAGCCTACAATTGTATGCAGCCACCTGTGGGTGGTTTGGGTGCTGGCTGGGATCTGACCTAGTTTTCGTTAGTTGCCGTTGTCCGATTTTTGTTTGTTTTGCCTTTCCCGCGGGCTGACTGGCTGCGTGTGTGTCTGTGAGTGTGCGTGTGGCTGATAACAGCAATAAATTTCCTACCTCACTCAACGCAGCGCTCCGTTGTCTAGGGCCCGAAAGACCTTACTGCTCCCTACAAAAATGCCTTGGCATCCACGCACGTTCTCTCTTTCGTTTTGTTACTTTTGCCCTCTCCCTCTCGTTTTTTGGGAAAGTGAAAGTATTTGATTGTGCGTAGGCCCGTTGTCGTCATCGTAACTGTGTCTTATCACACTCTCGAAAATGTTGCGCCTCACACTGAGCAACTGTCGATTACTCATACGACGTGTGGCTCGGTGCAGAGGGAAAATTGGTCGCGCATAATGCGCATGCCTGTGGCGGAAAAGCTGCGAGAGTTTTCCCCCGCACAAAGCTGCCAGATGCTCATGTAAATATACGTCAAATAGATTATTTTTTTTTTTTTAGTTTACAAAAAGAAACAGTAATTCAAAAACATTTCTCACTATCAATTAATTTAAATATATATATATACGAACATCCAATCAAATCGAATATAGTTGAAAAACATATGTAGTGTTGGGCATGGAGGAAAACAGTGGCAACGCCAATTTGGGAAATTTGGTATGTTTTTCATCTGATTGTTTTTGGCCGCGGATTGCTCAACTCTTGAAATGTGTGCATGTATGCGTGTGTGCGTCTCTGTGTATGTAATCCTCACAAAGGCACACCAAATATTTTGTTGTATATACGCTTTTCGGCTCTCGAGCAGCGACGTTGTCGTAGCTGCCTTTCAATTTGCTTGGCACGTCGCGCGCAAAAAACCTGCTCGATAAATACGCCAGGCAGCATTTTCAATATTCATTCTAAGATATATATATTTATAAATATATGTGTGCAGATCGTATGTGTTGGCATGAAATTCGTATAAACAAATGCGGCTTGTGATTTGTTTAAACATTAATCGTGCATATTGCAAATCGATTCAGACGGAAGTTGGCGGTTCAAGTTAATAAGTTTATAAATTTTCAAAGGTAACCAAAGGCATTGTGTTCACATATAATACAAAATTGCTGCCGTAAACTGGGGTAAGTTTCTCTCACTGTGCAATTGGCAGCCGCAATCATAATAACAGCGTTAAATATAAACATAAGCGAGCAATTGGCAAGCATAAATTGTGTATCCATAAGATACACAGACACACGCGCGCCTGCAAGGCAAAAGGAAGCAAACGAGAGTTTCTTCTGTATGCGGCTAGCTGGGGGGTGTGCGTGTGTGTGTGTGTGTGTGTTATTGTGTGTTGTAATGGTGTGTGCACAAAAACTCGTTCAGTGTGTCAGTGTTTCAGGCAGTTGTGGCAAGAGCAACATCAGCTGAGGCAGCGCAACGTATCGCCACGCGCATCGCGCATACGCCGCGTTGTCAATTGTTACTTTTTGCCCATTGTCAGTCGCGTCCATTTGGCTGTGCATCGCCCTTGGCACCAGTTGCCCGCACTCATATCATCCGCCAGTTGCGACCCCAATCGCCTCGCAAATCCTAACGGCCATCGTTGCGCACTTGATATTGGCTATTGGCCTAGCCGAGCACCCGCATCCACACCTACACCCTGAAATGCGTTCACAGCTGCCGCTGCAAATGAAAATTTGTTCGTTTGGTTTATTTCCCTTATTGTTTGTCGCTGCTGTGAAGAGAGCGTGCTCCACTTTCAGCCCCAACCCCCGCACAGCCGTCTCCTCCACCCTTCAGTTTTCTCTGCCTGTGGCACATTGAACATGGAACATGTTGCGTAGGGCTTGCTTTGCTTAGGGTGAGTTTCGCTTTTCGTTTTCCATTTTTTCGCTTTTCCTTTTCGTGTTTAGTTTGTCTTTTCCGGGCTTTCTTTCATGTGAAAGTTGTTGGCCCAAAATTAGATTTGGGCTCTTTCTTTGGCTGAAATTTTCTTAAATTTATTTTCAATTATTTAAGCTAATATATATTATATGAGTTCTTATTGATTTGTCTTAAATTTTGGCCGCTTCAACTGGGTCTAATTTGGCTAATGACTCAATTGAGCCCCCCGGAGTGCATAGACTCTTGACTGATTGGACTGACACATTGCTCTGGCATATTTTGCGCTTTGTTATGGATGCCTTTGTTTTGGTCGTTCACAGGCCTATGGCTGGCTTTATAATTTTTTTGGACGTCTGCTATTACATTTGGCATACGGCCAAAAAGCAAAATATCATAACAACTTCTGCCTGAATTTTCGACTCGTCATTTTTGTTGCCATTGCCGAAGACGGTGCAAAATGCTATATCTATGAGCCGATTAGTCACCGTTGCGCTGCTCGAAAGTGCAGTAAACTATTATGTTTTTATTAATATTATTACAAGTAGAGCTGCCGGCTCTCGAGTTCGCGTTCTGGGCAGAGTGTGTGCTGTGTTTTGCGGAGACTCAATTAAAACGGCGCTGCATGATGTCATTGGCACATTGTGAAATCCTGCCGTAGCCCCGGCCCGCCCACTGCAACGGGCTCTTATCTGTTATGACTCAGTCGCAGTAACTTTGTGTGTGCCACGAAATCTCTGTTGTGGCAAATGTTGCAAATCAAATTACCGCACTCTGCACCAACATTTGGCAGGCTTCGAAATATTCGTCATGCACACACACGGGCCATGCAAGTTCAGTCTCATTTTCTACGCATACAGCCATTCAGATAATATATGTAGTGTATGCCTAATGCTAATAATAAGGCAATTTCAGCTTAAGTATTTAGAATATATACTAGTTCGAAGAGCAGCGTGTTGTTCACAATTTACTGCCAAATTTGATTGCAATATTCTTTGCAAGTCGAGTACTTCAAGATATTTTTGCTGTGAATACCATACTTAAATGCCATAACAGTTTAAAGACCCCGTCATTAAACATTCATTAGTTCTTACATTTGGCTGTCATTTCTATTTTCCCTTTCGTTTTTTTTTTTTGCCTTTTTTGGCAAATTTGGAATGCATCGCTTTATAAATAGTGCTCTGGGCCATCGCACTCGGCCAGAAAAGCGCTGAACTTTTCTGGCCGGCCAAGTGTTTTATTTTTGGGGCCTGTTGGACGCCAAATTCTTGGCTCCCTGTGCGGCTACAGGTACATAAACGCTCCCATTGATCATTAGGCACATTTTCGAAATTAGCTACGCATATTTTCCAGTTTTTTTATATTTGTATTGTTTTGGTTGTGTTTCGCTTTGTTTGTTTGTTTGTTTGCCTTGTGGCGGCTGCTACTTGGGAATACTTGAGAATTTGTTTACGCCGCCTGGTGCATAATTATGTTTAATTAAACTAATTAAATGGCTTTTCATCTTTGGCAGCTGCTGCTGCTTGTTGTTGTTGTATTTCGCGCTTTGCTAATTAATTTTCCTTATGAATACAAATATTTGATCTGTTACTACGTGTTCATGATAATGACGATATTGTAAGCATTTTGCGATCGTAAACTAGTTTTAATGCTCAACATATGCTCGAATTTGCCAAGCCGACCTCGGGCAGGGTGGGGTCTGTAGGCTGCTGGCCACAAAGCCTGCCACTCAGCTGGGCCGCAGTCGGCCGGTCCCAATGTCAAGGTAGTGCGTGAGCTTAACAGTGCGACTTTTTACTGTTAACTGCGCCCGGCTTCCGCGACTCGAGACACCGACGACTCATTAGCAGGGCGCACAGCTACCCAACCCCATCATCATCATCGTCATGTGTAAACCTGTCAATAACTAGAGCTGGCTTAAGCAGATGACGGCTGCTCCTAAAGTTCGCCGTGTGAGTCATTCTATTGATACAGAAATATATAGAATACAGAAAACATTATTTATAAAATAGTTTGCTGATCTACTCTTCGATCGATCGTTTCGAGAAGGGCCACTTCCATCACATTTATAGTCGCTACAGAAACGGATCGACGGGAGACGGGCAGTTGTTCATTCCCAACTTGGCTGTTGATAGTGATCAAGATTATACATATACTTTATGGGGTTGCGTTATTATTATTGAAAAGTATTGTAAATGATGTCTGGAATATTACTGATTGGTGAAAGTAATTCTTCTCTATAGATGTATCTGTTCCATTGTCGGTCCATATGCCTTGTATTTTGATTATTATGTGTATAGAATCCACATGTATTCCAAATTGCCTATATATATTAATACAATTACAAGTTGCCAACTTTTCGAGCAGCCCTCGTTGGTAAACATTTAAACTTAAGCAGTTGCAGCTTTCGCTACGGCCTTGGCTGCCAATATTTGTGCCCTTTTGGCTGCCTTCTCGACTGTTGTTGTTGTTGTTGTTGTTGTTGCACTAGTTTTTCCAGCTTAAACTGCGCTTAAGTTTGCTCTGCCTATTTATATTTCTTATCTATGAAATGCTTATGCACGTAATTCGTGCGCAAATAAAACGCCCCGACGACAATTACAGTTGTTAAATATCGCAGACCAGCGAAGAGGCAGCAACACCCACAATCAAACCCACACC